TATTGGCGTGTAAAAGGATATGATCCTATTATACAACTCAGCTTTTAACAACCTTGCATGTAACTATTCACATAAAGTGATATTCAAAATCATAAGGTGGTGGTCTTATTTGAAAGTGCACTGATAACCATGGTGAAAATCAATGCATAATCCAGATAAAATACTCCACTTAAAAATCTTATGTGCATGCATCAACTTGGAAAGAATTTTTATCAGTCTTAAGGAAAACATAAAAATTGAATGTCATAACCGGGTCTCTTAGCTTTCACTGATTTTGAATCATTTCAATCGAACTTTGTATGAGTGAAATACTTCGTATGATCAACATACTAAAGCCTATATTAACTTAAAATTTATGAGTTTTATTTGGTCCAAATTAATTTTGAGTCACGCATTGCACCTTCAGCTCGACTACAGATGTCCATTTAAGTGTACCAAAGCCAAGGTCTACACTAGAGGTGGACATGGGCCAGGCTACCTGTCCAAGCCCGAGACCTGACCATTGTTTGGAAGGGATTGAACAAAAACCAAGGCCTGGTGTGTAGGCCTATGACAAAATGAAATGCTCATTTAATAAATGGGTAGGGTTTTATTAATTTCTATTCTTTCAATGTACATGATTGTCACAGTCTTGTATTGAAGATGATTGTCAAATTTCTACTCTTTCAAGGCACATGATTGTCAAATTTCACCACTTTCAAGGCACATGATTGTCAAATTTCTACTCTTTCAATGCACATGATTGTCATTTTTACAAAGATATTTACAAAGCCCGGCTCAAATATAAATTATAGAAAGATATTGCATATATGTGCAATGCATTTGATAAAGAGATATTGAAGGCCCAATTAGAAATGCCTAACCAACTACTTTGTAATATTTAGGACTAAGAGGCAATAAGGCCCCACCCTCCCATAAACTCTATTTTGTATTGAACATTTATAACTTTTTAAAAATTGGAGTAAATAGATTCTCCTAACTCTTTTTTTTAGATTTCATATAATTGTTACTATAAGCTGGACAGGCTAAGGTTTGGCCTTGGTCATCATATTTATTTATGTATTGTGAATTCTGACAAAATATTTGGCCCATTTTATCAAGTTGGTCAGCTTGGATAGAGCAATTTGTAGTAATTACATAGTTAAAGACCAATACGAACCCACTTAGGCATGACCCATGTCTATCTTTAGTCCATGGTCATCCCGTATATTACGAATGATTTTTTCATCAGTCTAGTCGCCATTCTAGTCG